AAAGTGAGACCCCCAACTCAAAAAAAAAAAAAGGACATATGGCTTAGCGAGACTTCTCTGTGACCCTGTTGAGAATGGAGGTAGGAGACTGGTTAGGAGGCTGTTACAGTGATCAAGAAGATATTTGGTTTGGATGTGAAAGTCTGAGGCCAGAATCAACCTGCATATCCTCTTTCTCCCACAGCACCCAGAACAGTTCATTATTCTATAAACACTTGTTGAATAATGACCAAGTATAGGGCCGAGTACAAAAACATCAAGTGTGGTTTAATTTTTTTACACTTGGACTTTTTCAAGATATATGAAATAAATTTAAACCTTGGTGTTTCTTTTTTCTTTTTTTTGAGTCAGAGTCTCACTAGGCTGGAGTGCAGGGACATGGTCATCACCGTCTCGACCTGCTGGGCTCAGGAGATCCTTCCACCTCAGCCTTCCAAATAGCTGGAACTAGAGGTGAGTGCCACCACGCCTGGCTAATTTTTATTGATGTATTGTAGAGATGAGATCTCGCCAAGTTACCCAGGCTGGTTTCAAACCCCTGGGCTCAGGCAATCCTCTCAACTCCACTTCCCAAAGTGGTGGGATTACAGGTGTGAGCCACCGCCCCCAGCGTGGTGAGACTTTCTTAATTATCAGCCAAGTTTTCAATGGTGAACCAAATCTGAGCACAGTCCTGATGTTCAACTGCAGAAACAGGATTAAGTTAGATTTAGGAAGAGGACACACACACCACCGTGTGGCCCAGGGAGGTATTGCCAGAAGGGAGACAACCTGGTGTGAATTTTGAACTGTGCACTAATGATGTTAGTCACCTTCAAAATATAAATTACAAAAAAGCTGGCGCAGCAGCTCACACCCATAATCCCAGCACTTTGGGAGGCTGAGGTGGGAAGATCGCTTGAAACCAGGAGTTTAAGACCAGCCTGGGCAACACAGTGAGCCCTCATCTCTAAAAAAAACCAAAAAAATTAGCAGACTGTGGTGGTGCGCACCTGTAGTCCCGCTACTTAAGAGGCTGAGGCAATCACCTGAGCCCAAGAGGTCGAGGCTGCAGTGAACTGTGATTGTGTAACTGCACTCCGGCCTGGGCAACAGAGTAAGACCATGACTCAAAAAAAAAAAAAAACTCTAAAAAAGTAAAATATAAATGACAAAATATTCCAATTTCAATTGGTTAGATGTTATTGTGCATATTTTAAAAATTATGTAGCCGGGTATGGTGGCGCATGTCTGTAGTTCCAGCCACTCAGAAGGCTGAGGCGGAAGGATCGCTGGAGGCCAGCAGGTCGAGGCTGCAGTAGCAACAGAGTGAGACTCCGACTCAAAAAAACCCCCAAAAAACAAAAACAAAAATTATGCATCTTATGGTATAAGAAAGCCATTTTGGCATAGTCTCCTTCCCTAAAATCCAGGATGGGAAAAGGAGTTATCATAATACAAATACATTAAAACGTCCATGAAAATGAAAACATAACTAGTTAAGTAGCTGAAGAAGACCAAGTGAATCACCCCAGGAGCTTGCCACGCTACTTGGGTACTCCCTGCTTCCTCCAAATTCTGATATATAGTCAGTCCTTGGTATGCCTAGGTTCCACAACTAGATTCAACCAACTGTGTGTCAGAAATAATTTTTAAAAATCTGTATTTGTACAGGACTTAGGCAGACTTTTTTCATAATCCCTAAACAATGCAATGTACCAATTATTTACATAGTATTTACATTGCTTTAAGTGTTAAGAGTAATCTAGGTCAGGCTGTAAGCCCAGCACTTTGGGAGGCCAAGTGAGTGGATTGTCTAAGCCCGCGGGTTCGAGACCAGCCTGGGCAACTTGGTGAGACCTCATCTCTACAGTAAATAAAAAATTAGCTGGGCATGAAAGTGAGCATCTATAGTTCCAGCTACTTGGAAGGATGAGGCAGAAGGATCGCCTGCCCAGCAGGTCGAGGTTACGGTGGCCATGAACATGCCACTACACTCCAGCCTGGGCAACAGAGTGAGACTCCAACTCAAAAAAAAAAAGGTAACCTAGACGTGATTTAAAGTGTACAGGAGGATGTGTGTAGGATATTTACAAATACTATACCATGTTGTATCGGGACTTGAGAATCTGTGGAAGGTCTTGAAACCAATCCCTGGGGATACCAAGGGACAACTGTATTCTTCTTGGAAGGACATGAGTCCCTGCCTGACAAGATGTACCACAGGAAGCCACTGTTGAAGATGGAAAAACTGGGTCGCCCTCAGGTGTGAGGTGGTAGGAAAAAAGCTGAGTTCGACGATGCTACTTTTTCAACGTCTAGTCCAATGATAGAGGTTTAGAAATCTCCCGGGATAGGTCGTATGAACAAAGCTGTGCAGGATAAGTAGGGATGAGGTAGAACAGGAGGGAGATATTCCAGATCACAGGACTCCAACAGCGCCTCTCCTTAAACAATAGCCCGGTGGCTTTTAGGATGAAGTTCACATTTCATGATGCAAGAATTTTTATTATTACTTTTAAATTGACAAGTAGACAGTATATATCTATGGTATACATGATTTTTGTTATACATATACACTGTGGAAGGCAAAAGCAAGTTAATCAACGTATGCTTTACTTCATATACTTATAGTTTTGTGGTGGGAACACTTATAATCTACTCTCTTAGCAATTTTCAAGTACACAATATATTGCTATTACTTACAGTCACATTGATGTATAATCGGTCTTTTTTTTTTTTTTTTTTTGAGTCGGAGTCTCACTCTGCCACCCAGGCTGGAGTGCACTGGCACACTCACGACCACTGCAGCCTCGACCTGCTGGGTTCAGCAATCCTTCTGCCTCAGCCTTCCAAGCAGCTGGAACCAAAGGCGCATACCACTATGCCTGGCTAACTTTTTTGATTTATTGTAGAGGCGAGGTCTCACTAAGTTGCCTGGGCTGGTTTCGAACTCCTGAGCTCAGGTAATCCTCTCGCCTCAGCCTCCCAAAGTGCTGGGATTAGCAGGCTTGGGCCACCGCACCCAGCCAATTGATCTCTTAAACTTACTGGATTTAAATAATTTATTTCATTTTTGGGGGTATTTTTTTGAGTCAGAATCTCACTCTGTTGTCCAGGCTGCAGTACAGTGGCATGATCCCAGCTCTCTGCAGTCTCTTCCGCCTCAGCCTTCCAAGTAGCTGGAACTACAGGCGCGCGCTACCACAACCGGCTGATTTTTGATCTATTGTAGAGATGAGGTCTCGCCGAGTTGCCCAGGCGGGTCTCGAACCCACGGGCTCAGGCAATCCACTCATCTCGGCCTCCCAAAGCGCGGGATTACAGGCTGAGCCACCGAGATGGGCCACACATTTTTTTCAATTGTGTAACTTTCTAGCTTCTATCTACAAAACTCTCCTAAAATAGCAACTTTTTTTTTTAAAAAGTACTACTAAACGGGGACACCTATATCTACATTTAAGCCTTAATATTATCAGCCTGAGAGTTTTTTTAAAATATAAGTTTTCCATTCAATCTAAATAAAAGATCCTTCAGCAGATAAACGAGTTTGTCAAACTCTTCTGTTCACAAAAATATAGCTAACTGGGACTTTGTTAAGTTCAATAAAGATGAAGGGAAATCATCATTGAGAAATAACAGAAATGAAGAGAAATAAGTACCAAGTAACTGGGCTGGTGGTGATTAGAACTGGCTGCAAAAGACACCCCGTGAGGAGGCAGGGAAGGGCGAGGAGTACAGGCCAGGTCCCAAGGAGTACCAGATGCTGGGGCCCATCCAGCACCTCATATAGAAGTTCTAAATACCACCCAGTTCTACTACTAATTCGTAAGTCTCCGTGAAGTCTTTTTTTCTTTATCTGGTGTGTTAAGGAGTTAACAAAAAACTTCTTTCTCCTGCTGCATGAGAACCTGACCTGCTGTCTGTTTCATAATTATCAGTCAAGTAGCCAATAAGCCAAACCATCCATAGTCCAGGATGCTCAACTCAGATGCAGCAGTTGAAGAGGACAAGCGCCATCGTGTGGCCGCGTGTGGCGTTGCTGTTACAACCCTTCTCTCCCGCTCTCCGCTGGTGCAAAGCCCACCAAGTTACTAGGCAATCTTGTTTATAATAAAAGTAAGCCCTGTACTCCAGCTTGGGAGACAGAGTGAAACCCTGAGTCAAAAAAAAAAAGAGGAAACCCTGATCGGTAAATCTCATCTGGACAGAAGGAACTGCAAATAAACCATAAACATAAATGAATTTTCTGCCTCCCTGAGTGTACTGACCTTTGTACTCAGTATGTCCCTCGTGGAGAGACCCCAGCAGCAACCCATGCCTTTACTGCAAGGCAGGCTGACTTCTCTGGGGCAGGAAGTTTTGAAGCCAGGGTGACTCCCATTAGTGTAATGTGGCCCTGTGTCCTTGCACCTGGGCTATGCTGTACAGACAGCTGCAAGGACCACTGGGGAAGGAAAGACGGACCTTGCCCTCCAAGCTTATAGCTTTCTAGGAAGAACAGAACCACTCATGACCCATGAAAAGTTCTTGTTCTGATATTTAGTTCCGTCCAGTAAGACCTTTGGTGGACACTGAATATGGCAATAGTTTATAATCAGAAATTAAACAGTTGCTAGCTCTAAAGGTTGGAAAGAATTTGTAGTACGCAGAAATTCACATAAACTCATTGCCTACACTTCTGAAAAGACAATCAGTTCTTTTGGAATGTTCTCAAAAGCTATTATTATTTTTATTTACTTATCTTTTTTGAGTTGGAGTCTCACCTATCACCCAAACTGGAGTGCAGTGGCTGCTCCCGGCCACCACAGCCTTGACCTGCTGGGCTCCGGCGAGCCTTCCGCCTCAGCCTTCCAAGTAGCTGGAACTACGGGTGCGTGCTACCACACTTGGCTAATTTTTTGATTTATTGTAGAAATGAGGTCTTACCAAGTTGCCCAGGCAGGTCTCGAACCCATGGGCTCAGGCAAAAACTATTATTGAGTGTATAAAAGTGAGCATCTGGTAAACTGACATCTTACAAAGGGCTAAGAATATATTTAAGATTCCTAAAATAAGTAATAATTGTGGACTTACCATAATTGGGTAAAATATACATGTTGAGTGGTACCAGCAGCAACACTATGCATCCCAGAACAATAAAAGGCACCTCGTAGCCAAAGGACTGATATAAAAAGCCACCTACAGGAGGACCCAATATTAGTCCCAGTCCAGAAAATGTCTCAAGACTTCCCTAAAAATGGGGGGGAGGGGGAGTGAAATTTGAGTTAATACATTTTATCTAAAGAATGAACAAGGTACTATCTGGAAAAAATTCTATCCACTTCAAACTGACACACACACACAAAACCAAAGATGGACAGACAATTTAAACATATATATTAGAATTATAAAAGTACTAGGAAAACAAAACATGGAACTTTTTCTGTTTTGATTTTCATGGTGGGGAAGGTATTCTAAAAATGATATAAAATGCAGAATAAATAAAAAAGGATTGATAAATCTGATGACATGAAAAAATAAAAACTATGCATAGAAAAATACATTAAAAGATAAATGAGGCCAGACGCGGTGGCTCACGCTAATAATCCCAGCACTTTGGGAGGCCGAGGTGAGAGGACTGCCCAAGCCCACGGGTTTGAGACCAGCCTGGGCAACTTGGAGAGACCTCATCTCTACAATAAATCAGAAAATTAGCTGGGTGTGGTGGTGGATGCCTGTAGTACCAGCTACTTGGAAGGCTGAGGTGGAAGGATCGATCACCTGAGCCCAGCAGGTCGAGGCTGCGGTGGCCGGGAGCCACTGCCCTTCAGCCTAGGCGACAGAGTGAGACTCCAACTCAAAAACAACAACAACAACAAAAACCCAACCATTATGGACTGTAGCACGTTTTACAACAGAAGACTTAAACAATCTCAGTAGTATCAAAAGTGTAAATAAACTAGATTACATCCATACACTGAAATACTACATAGCTGCTAGAGAAAAGCAAACCGTAAGAAAGCTCTTTATGTGTAAGTAGAGAAAGACCACCAAGATGATGTCATTGCTGGTGTCATGAGCAAGGGGCCAAATGGTGTACGTGGTGTGCTACCATTTGTGTAAAGAAACAAGGGGAGGGGAAATCATGCTTGCTCTCTCTCGTGTGTGTGCATGTGTGTGTGTGTGTGTGTGTGTGTGTGTGTGTGTGTGTGTGTGTGTGTATACGTGTGTATATACATACATATATGGACTCTCTCTGGAAGAAACCTGTATTACCTGTTGCTTTCCCAGAGGGAGCTGGAGGGCTAGACACCTGAACAACAGGTATGCATACAAAGGCTGAGTAACAGCCATAAGTAGAGTATATGTACTATATTCTATTTTCTCTTTTGTAACTGTTGAATTGTATACCATACAAAATTATTTTGTTAAAGTAAGCAAGAAAGTGCTATGGAAAAATAGTTTACCACTACAGAAATTGCACCATTCTAAATCAATCTAGTTTTTAGCAGCTTTAACAAAGGCCGGTGGCTTGCAATCTTACATTCTCAGACCTCACAGAGTACACAAAAGTAGCCCATTAATGACTTTCCACAATTCATAAATAACATAGGAATTCTGTCTTATTCATGATAAGGTTGTCCAGGTCCATTACAACGGTAGGTGTGTTAGCTTTTGGCTGCAATTTTACACAGAGACATAACAAGGCAACACGGGTGTCCCCCACCAATCAGAAAACCCAAGGGACTATTGCCACGATCACAGGACTTTCTAGGGCAGCACTTTCCAAAGTGTTTCACAGACCCCCAGCTCTTTAAGAGGTCAAGAGTTTTTGCTTGAGAAAAGTGGTTCTATGGCCAAAGTGAGTTGTGAACGATTTAATAACGCCTGTCTGCTCCAGGATTTCTCAGTCTTGAGGTACCAATGCAAGCTGGACATCTCCAAGCTGATGAACAGCATACAGCACACTCCATGTTTGCTTAGCCACCAATCCTTGTTTTAGAGAGCATGTCAACAGCATTTGAACCCTTTTTGAGAAAAATATTTCTGGGAAATGTAAAGGATACACCTACCAAGTGGTAAGAGAACCTAACAGGAACCTATCCAGCAGCATACATAAGTGCTTAATAATAAAAGTGGGAAGAGACTGGGCTTGGTGGCTCAGCCTGTAATCCCAGCACTTGGAGATCATCTTGAAGTCCTTACGTGCTTTTGTACTGTCTGAGGAGTGCCCTTGCATTTGACATAAAAATCACAACCACCGCAGTCTCGACCTGCTGGGCTTAGGCAATCCTTCCACCTCAGCCTTCCAAGTAGCTGGAACTACATGTGTGTGCCACCATGCCAGGCTAATTTTTTGATTTATTGTAGAGACGCAGTCTCGCCAAGTTACCCAGGCTGGTCTTGAACCACTGGGCTCAGGCGATCCTCTCACCTCAGCCTCCCAAAGTACTGAGATTACAGGCTTGAGCCTCTGCAACCGGCCAAGATGGTCTTTGTGACATTAGCCCACAATCTCCTCATGTTTCCAGTTTTTAAATAAACCCACTTTCTTTTCACCAACCCTTGTCTCTCAAGCTTGGCTTTTGAGCAATGAGTAGCCAAGCTGGAGTTTGATTACATGTCAATATCATGCCACCAGGTTCTGGATTTTTATGTCAAATGCAAGGGCACTCCTCAGACAGCACAAAAGCATGTAAGGACTTCAAGATGATCTCCAGGATCTTTTGCATAAATCTGGGGAAAGTGAAGGAAGGATTCTAGTATGAACTGAGTGTTTTGTCGCTAGGGATAACTGTTTTATTATTATTTGTTTTTGAGTTGGAGTCTCACTCTTTTACCCAGACTGGAGTGCAGTGGCTGCTCCCGGCCACCGCAGCCTCGACCTGCTGGGCTCCCGAGATCCTTCCACCTCAGCCTTCCGAGTAGCCAGAATTACAGGTGCGTGCTACCATGCCCGGCTAGTTTTTTGATTTATTGTAGAGATGAGGTCTCGCCAAGTTGCCCAGGTGGGTCTCGAACCCGCAGGCTCAGGCAATTCACTCACCTCAGCCTCCCAAGGCACGGGATTACAGGCTGAGCCACCGAACCCGGCTGGGATAACTCTTTTCTAAAGTAGAGAAATGCTTCAGAAAGTTCGAGCACAGTCTAGGGGAGATGAAAAAATATTACCTGGGAGGATTAAAAAAAAAAAGTAGTAAAAAGAACCATTGATTTGGACCATATTTACCTATCAAATTGCCCATTCAGGGAATTCTAAGACCAGGAAGAACACCTAACTAACACTAATGGTACATTTATTAACAGCTTTGCTGCTAGAAGTAGAAATAAGAATAAAAGGTGATAAAAACATACAGTGTAGAGAAACGCAGGTAGAGAAGATGCCAGCTTTAATGTGGAAGTTCAAACAAATATTTTAACCTGCACCCAATGGAAAATAAGAAAAACTCATGCCTAGACACACGTTTATTGCAGCATTATTCATAATCGCAAAAACATGAAACCAACCGTGCTGCCCATCAAAAGAGGACTGGATTTTAAAAATGTGGTACATACACAAGACGGAATATTACACAGCCATAAAGAAGGACAAAATTATGAACTTTGCAGCAACTTGGATGGACTTAGGGGCTATAATACGGAGTGATCTATCACAGAAACAAGAAAATGAGTACCACATGTTCTCATTCATAAGCAGACCTTGTGTGGAACGGGTTAAACTCTGCAAAGAGGATCCGTTTTTATTTTATTATTTTATTTTATTTTTTCATTTCCAAAATGGCAGTCACACATGAGTGTTAAATCTGTACCAGGCGATGCTAAGAGAGAGCAAGCGTCTCAGCACCTACAATTACAGAATGTATTTTTTCAGGAGGATAAGAGATGCCTTCAGAGAAAATAAAAGTGTGAAGGATCTTGTAGAAATTCAAGCCCTGGTGAATAAAGCCAAAAGAGGCCTTGGAATAATCCGTCGACAGGTCAACATTGGCCAACTATATTCAGCTGACAAGCTGATCATTAAGAATCAAAAGGCCGGGCTTGGTGGCTCAGCCTGTAATCCCAGCGCTTTGGGAGGCTGAGGTGAGTGGATTGCCTGAGCCCATGGGTTCAAGACCCACCTGGGCAACTTGGCGAGACCTCATCTCTACAATAAATCAAAAATTAGCTGGGTATGGTAGCGCACGCCTGTAGTTCCAGCTACTTGGAAGGCTGAGGCGGAAGGACTGCCTGAGCCTAGCAGGTGAAGGCTGCGGTGGCTGGGAGCGGCCACTGCACTCCAATCTGGGCGACAGAATGAGATTCCAACTCAAAAAAAAACACACAAAAAAACAAAGAATCAAGAGATGCCCAGGACCTAGGGAGCTGGGGACTAGCCACCAGCGGCGACCAGGGACCACCTTCGGCACCCACTCTCTGCTTGGGATGGGGGCTCCTAACAGCAGCTTAAAATAGCCTCTTGCTCTGGCTGCCTTGTGGGAGGGTTAAACTGAGTCACATTTTCATTCTGCTGCAGCCTTAGTGAAAAAGGGCAGCCATGTCTCCTGGGTTCAAGAGTCAAAATGAAGAGCTAGTGCTCACTCCCAAATAATGCTGTGTGCTATTACGTCTCCTCTCCACCCTGCTCCTATCCTGTAGCTCATGACCACTGTATAGATTTCCAGACTTTGTTTCCTAATCCTTGACAATAAACAGAATTGTCTCCCTAAGCCTTTCACAACAGAAAGGAAAAAAAGAAAGAAAGAAATAAAGAGATTGGCAGTAGTGGGAAACTGTGGGGTGGGAGGGGCACACCTCATCATTGAGGGTACCTCATAATGATCATTGGTATACCTAACCCTGGATTGTACCCCACACTTTTAAATTAGAATATAATAATAATAATAAAGAAAAACTCATAAAATACATACCAATACTGTAGCCACATTATTTGGAAAAGCCTTTGCCAGGATAGAAGAAGATGCAGTTAGGGCAGCGGCAAAACTTACTGCATCCATTACTCTCACTAGAAAACACATAGCAATAAATATTGGTCCTTCTGGAACTTGGTCCAATATACTGAAAAGGAATGAGACAATTTCTCAAATGCCAAGCTAGTTTGTATTTGCTTCCTTTTTAACTGTATTCATTGAAAAGAGCAGTGCATCATCACCCACAATTATTAGAATCACTTTAGAATATGAATTTTTTTAAAGAGTTGCTTTGATACATTTTCAGTAGGAGGAAATTACTTTTTTTTTTGAGTTGGAGCCTCACTCTGTTGCCCAGACTGGAGTGCCGTGGCCGCTCCCGGCCACCGCAGCCTCCACCTGCTGGGCTCCTGCGATCCCTCCGCCTCAGTCTTCCAAGTAGCTGGAACTACAGGTGCACGCTACCACACCTGGCTAATTTTTTATTTATTGTAGAGATGAGATCTCGCCAAGTTGCCCAGGCAGGTCTCGAACCCACGGGCTCAGGCAATCCACTCACCTCAGGCTCCCAAAGCGCGGGATTACAGGCTGAGCTACTGAGCCCGGCTGGAAATTACTTTTTTTGGTGACAATTTAAGCTACAATGACAGCTTGGTTGCCCTTTTCTGCTATTATGATTGGTCCCCTAGATGATAATACTAAATAGGCTCTTTTGGACTACAAATCATTCTTATAAAACCTGTAAAGAAGAAAGGACTGGCCGGGCTCAGTCACGGGTTCGAGACCCCAGGTGGGTCTCGATTGCCTGAGCCCACGGGTTCGAGACCCGCCCGGGCAACTTGGTGAGA